CCCCAAAACCCCAAAACCCCAAAACCCCTTTATAAAGCAAATTTATTAAATTTTACTCAGAATCATGATGGAAAAAATCCCAGTAGAAGAAGACAAGGAAGAAATCTTCCCAGAAAATTTTGAAATCATCGAAGAACGTGGAGAGATTCAGAATACAGATAATTTGGAATACAATTCTGATAAATTGTTTACCATCTTGGAGAAAGGAGAAGGCATAAAGGTAAGTCCTTTAAAGGATTGGTAATCATTCTTTAGGTTTGTAAAGCTATACAGCTCAAGAACTATCCTTATATCGGAATCTACAGCTTCAATTATGAATGGATGCCAACCTTAAGTTTCTTCAACTCATCAGGAATTGAAGACTGGAATGGAATTATTCCTCAAAAGGCAGGGCATGCACTTAGAAAGCTGAGAGAAGATCATAAATTTAGGATAGAAAGGATGAATTATGTTTGAGTTAATTATAGCTCAACAATGTTCAGAGAAAGATTTGTCAATAATTATAGCCAGAAATATGCCAGATTTAATTTAGTATTTCATCCCTATTTCATGGATTACTTAAAGCCAGGGGTTCATGAAGATAAATAAGTATATTATGGCTTCAATCTATACCAATGACGAAATGGTATATGGGTTAAAATAAGAGTAACTTCTTCCCTATTCAGATTAACTCTGAAGATCTCTATGCAGCTGAAAACTGGGTTGAACTACATGTTCATAGAGCAGCAGATGACGACCCTAATGCAATTGCAGTTTCTCCAAATAATGCAGGTGTTCTGATAGATCTTTCCTGTCCCCTAATCCCATTTTATTCAATGGCTATTGAGTTAGATGAAGAAAGAAAGAGCATGAATGTGCTTATAACATATCACTGAATCATAGATGAAACCTGCTTACCCAACAAATGTCTAATTGAGACACTCGACTTCTATAAATTCTGAGAGAAAGTTGACAAAGACAAACTGATGAAGCCAAGAAAACCAACTTTAGGCATAATTCCTAAAGGAAATCAGCAGAAATATGAGAAAGTGAGAAACCAGCTACTATCATCTTTTGCTTGAACTAATTTGACTACCTCTGAAGAAATTCAGCACTATATCATCAAGAAGGCTAAAATTGCTGCAAAGTTAATGAAAACAATGATGTGACAGGACTTTGATGATATTAAAGACTACATCCAGTTCTGGGTCTGGGATGTCTTCACCAATGATGTCAAAACTGAAGAGCCAGATTACAATGACTTCATCAAAGAAAGAGAGAACAAGTAAAAACTAGTTAAATCTTTAGAGGAGAGTTCAAGGCAAAATTCCTAATCATTGACGAATTTATTGAAGACTTCTACAAATTTATATGGAGTAGATTTGGAGCTCCAGTAATCCCTAACTACGGTGAAAGATACATTAAAGAATGAGGGTCAGTCGACTATATGATACATCTATTCCTTGGATTTGCTAAATTCATTGGAAATCTGTACTACAAATTAGGAACTACTCAGCTGATAATGGCTCAGGATTACATGAATAGTGCAGCAGATTCTCAATGCCAACTGGATATTATCGGTAAGTAGATGACTTCAAGCTTTATTTTGACAAAAATAGAAAATAAGAACTTGCTTGAAATCACGACTGAGGTAGATACACAAGCATCAGAGTAAGAAAAATGAGACTCAATATCATATAGAAAGCCCGAAAATCCTTATGAAAAGACGATTACAGAGCACCTAAACTCTTTACTTTCAAATCCTGAAGACATACAAGAATGGGGTCAAACTCTCATGCAAATGCCTGAAGTATTGCAGGATCTTCTCTTCAGCAGAATTTGGATCCTCCATTCAAAAATAGACGGAATTCATCCTGACTTTGGGAGAGTTTCTTATATAAATTCCCCTGAAATTAGCGAATACTATTGGACAAACCAAGAACAGAGAGCTTTTGAGATCATGGGATTGTCCTCAATAATCACATCAGGTGATAGTGACATGTAGCTTGAATTTATCCATCTTAGCAGGCATCAAAATTAGAATAATTGCTGAAGAATTTGGGGTTTTGGGGTTTTGGGGTTTTGGGGTTTTGGGG